TCAGCACGCGCCACCTCCTGCGGCCGCAGCGGCGCCGGCCCTGAGGTGGTGCCTGAGGGCGCTGGGGTCGCACTGCGCTGCGGGCCCTGCTTCGCTCTTTGCCGGCCGCCGCCTCGGACGTGAGGTTGACAGGTGAGCCTGCACAGAGGCCAAGCCCGCCGGCTGTCCCCCGAGATCCACGCGCCTTGCACTTCAGAGATCCCCACTGTTGGGGGTGGGGTGGTGGGTGGATTCACAGGAGACCTTGTCGCAGTTTACAGCGCGGCCTTCCTGGAGGAAAGGTGATGCCTAGTGCCCTTAGGGAGTGCGAGCCTTCCCCTTCTTTAAAGGGACTGAGACTCCGGTTCATCCCCCAGGCGCCAGGTCTTCGGAGAAATCTTTATGCTGATGAACGTATTAGCATTGCAGATGACGGACGCCACTTGCATAGGCCACAGGGGCCCGGCTGGGCACCAATAGGAGAGCATTGCTTAGGGGAGGTCGGAATGTTTGCTTACCTTTTCACCTTTGAGGAAGTCTTGGCTTTAACCGCGTTCACTGCCAACCTGGAGGAGCGAGCTGTGGGAACTTTTAATACCTAAGGTTTCAGGAGCTCTGATGGCATAGTGCCTAAGGCACTTGACTGCTAACCGAAATGCTGGCGGTTCAAACCCACCAGCCACTCCTCGGAAGGAAGGTTGGGCAATCTACTTCCATAGAGATACCCAGGGAGGGGTCGCTATGAGTCAGAATCGACTCCAGGCAGTGCCTTGTTTACTTTGCGGCTTCACATCATCCCTTCCTCAGAAATGAAACCTGCAGAAGGAGGAACAGAGCTTGCGCCAGTAGCTTTTCCTGAGGTTCGCACGCAGGGGTGGCAGTATGCTCCCCAAAGAGCTGCCTAAAGTGTGGTAGCTGCCACTGTCAACTCTCAGAAGGGGATCGGTGCAGGAGATACTGGATAGAGGAGGAGAACGATGTGGAACAAAATTCAAAATCATAAAAAAGACCGGGTTTGCTGCTCTGATAGAGCCTGGTGAGACCCCTGAGACTATGGCCCCTAGTTACCCTTCAGGTCTGGAACTGAACTCACCCCTGTGGATTTCAGCCAAACAGTAGATAGGCCTATGGGCTGAACATTTACATCAGGTTGATACACTTCTTGGAGTGACCAATCATGGGAGAACAAAGGGCAGTGTTTGCACAGAGAAATAGCTCAGGGGGCAGGAGTGCATGGGAGGGAAGGACACAGGGAAGAGGTAACTACTGGGAGGAAGTGGGAAGAGAGCTGTTACACTGTGGGGAATTGCAGTCAATTTCATGACACAAAATGTGTATGAACTGCTGTATGGAAAATGAATTGGTTCTCTAAAACTTTCACCCAAATCGCAGTAAAAATTTAATAAATAAAGTGAGGTAGCTGCCTGTAGGGCCTCGTTGAATTTGTCTGGGAAGGCCCAGAATATAGCTTAACCCCAAGGGGTGGATACCTAAGAGCTGAAACAGTCTACTAGAGTACTGAGTTATGAAAACGATAGTCCAAGTCATTAAACTCATGGCTCATTTGCTAACTGTACATTATAGAGGTTACCCTGGGCCCTTGCAGCTCTGTTTCCTGTCCTGTAGGAAGAGTGGGCCCTATGAGGGCAGGCAGCAAAGTCAAAGGCCCTGTTGGTCTGGACACAGCTTTGACCACACCAGAGCTGGAGGTCAGCTCTCCCGATGAGAGTCTTGAACCTAACAAGACTTATGCCTGAGGTTACAGCGGGGAAGTGCCAGAAGCTGGACTCCAACTTGGGTCTTCTGGAGCCGGTGCGTTGATCCCTCCGCCACACAGCGTGGAGCAGTAGGATTGACTGCAAACTGATCCTTTGCTTGTACCCTTTTTGGTCACACAGGACTGTCACCCTGTGTGGGCCAATTAAGTTTCCCACACCCGCCATCTGACCCTCCCAGTCATAGACAGCATTACAATCACACAGCCTTTCCATTGCCTGGGATCTACTTATTTACCCTTTCGCAAAAAAAAATCATCTAAAACGTGTGTCTGCCTGTGTCTTAGATGGTAGGGGGACCAGAAGTTGATCTGGACTGAGATGTTTATTTTGCATATCCTTAGACTTAGGAGTGAGTTTGGTTTGGTTTTGGTAGACTTGTTATGTGCCTTCAAGTCAGACCTGACTAATAGCGAACCCTCCCTGGGTTTCCAAGGCAGTATCACTACGGAAGTAGATTGCCCCATCTTCCTTCCTACCAGAGCTACCTTAGATAGCTCAAATTACCCTTTAAATCACCCTTCTGCTGTGTAAATGCTTGCTTATGCTACATGGAGGGGAGGTCCAAACAGAAAACTTGAAAGGCAAGGATATCTTCATTGTAAGCCTCACCTTTGGATCAACCACAGATCCTCCCTGCTACCTCCCTTCTCCTCTCTGCTTCCAGTCTCCTGAAGCTAGAGCAGCCAGATCCTGGCAACAGGCCAGGTCACCTGGGACAAGAAGGCCTATTCTTCGCATGTGGGTTGCACATGGGAGGGTTACCTCTGCCTTTTCCAAAGGTTTAGAAGTTGTATTTCACCACTAATGTCTTCCATTTCATGTGCAGCAGGCCATGGAGGCAGACCCGCTTTCCCGTGTGATACCTCTGCCGGGGGTGTAATTTGTAAGCCAGAATTATCGTAATACCGTAGCATTATGCCAAGAACTTGAAGAGCATGTGTGTATTTGTGCAACCTCCAAATGCTCTGTCTATAATTAACCCTCCACACACCCCTGCAATCTGGTGGTGTTCCCAGTTTACAGATGGGGTAACTGGCCCAAGGTGGTGTTTACGTCAAGCAGAGAAAAAAGCACATGGATGTTTTCCTTTGGGAACTAAGAGAGACACTCTTCACTAGGCTTGGAATCAGCAGTGGTTGCTGGGAAATGAAATAGAGGTGCTTCCCGAGAAAGATGTTGAAGCAATAGGTATGTCAAGTGATCGGGGGACAGAGGGATGTAGAGGAAATGGATCAGAACACTGTAGAGGTTTAGAGCTGGTCAGGTTCTCTTGCTGGAGACCCAGCAAGCCCATTTTACAGAGGGGAGACTGGGAGTAGTGAGGGGAATAGACGTGTATCCAGAGATCCAGAGTCACAGCTGAGATTGGTAACCAGAAGCTCAGCATCCAAACCCAACACGAAGCCACGCTTGTAGAATTATAGAATTTATAATTCTGCCCGTTGTCCTTGGCATTTCCTATTTGTATGTCCCTACCCTCATATTGGGAGCTCTGGTAGCGTAGTGCCTAAGGCACTTGACTGTTAACCAGAAGGCTGGCGGTTCAAACCCACCAGCCACTCCTCGGAAAGAAGTTTGGGCAATCTACTTCTGTAGTGATACTGCCTCAGAAACCCAAGGAGGGGTCGCTATGGTTCGGGTCTGACTTAATGGCAAACAACAACAATAACAACCACCCTCGTATATTCTTATTGGTAGGGGTGCATATGATCCTATTTCTGCCCTTGCCTCAGTTTCTTGCTTTTGGTCCAGAGCTCCCCAGAGGCAGCACCTTTCTCTGCCCGCTGTCTGGAGGAAGGTGATGCCGATGGTAGCAGCCCAGAAAAGTGGCATCACTAGCCCACAGATTCGTTTTCTTGGAAGAAGCATCATCCATGCGGTGGAGGCCGTCAGTTCCCTCTCTGTATCAGAGCTGCTCTAGATGCTGGCTCTCTTTCTTGCCAGTAATGGTCCAAGAGGAGGCAAGAGAAATACCAGGCAGAACAAGGTACATAGTGCTGTGGATTTTGTTCCCAGGGAAATACATCACAGAGGGTTTCTTGCAGGAGTTGATGTCTGGAGTAGGCCTTGAGAATGAACAGTATTTGGATATGGGGAATTCCAAGCAGAGGGAACCAGTAAGCCAAAGCCTGGAAGCAGGAACACGTGGGTACCACTTGCGCAGTGATGAGTGGTCTGGTTTGACTGGAGTATGAGCAGATGAGAGTTTGTGAGGCCTTGAAATAGCAAGTGAAGGGAGAAAAATGGACTATGGCCCATGAAGAAGAGTTTTGAGCGCGAGGCTAAGGAGAATGGAACTTTATCTTGTAGGCAATAGGGAGCCATCGCCATAGCAATAGGGAGTCGATGAGCAAGGAAATGGCCTACTTATTTCTGCATTTTATAAAGATCACTCAACACATAATTAATGAATGATTAAATAGCATTGCGATAGTGGAAGAAAGTTAAGCCGTTGTAGGGTGTACTGTGCATGACTTCTAGGTCTCTGACTTCGGGCCACTTGGTGAATGGTGGCAGCCCATGGTAGCGTAGGAAAGAGAAAGTGCTATTCTGGGGAGAATGTGGCCTCAGCATTAGTAAGATGTGAAGTGCAGGGCAAGGGTCTGGACCAGAGGCACAGATTTGGGGGTCACTGGTGCTTAGCTACTAACTGAAAGATTGGTGGTTTGAACCCTCACAGCAGCTCCATA